ATTAGAGTCATCTTTATTTAGTCTATAGAGCATGTTGTCCTTCTAAAGTTCCCAGCCAGGGCTCTGCATATCAGGATAACCAAGATGAGGAACTAGAAACAGACTCATAGCCACTGAGGTCTGGCCACCCTTACACATTCCTTTAAATGCTCTAAATTGAAGACTTTTTTTCCATTATAACTTTTAAAATAATTTTTAATCAAACATATCTTTATTTTGTTTCTCACAGAAATTAGCATAATGTTCTTAAAAACTTAACTTCTAAAGTTCTAAAGTGGTTAAAAAAGCTAACTAATTTTACAGGAAGATAGCAATTGTATAGATTACACTTTCTGTTTTACATTAAAACCAGATAGCTTATAGGTCAAGTCTCTTTAGTATTAAAAAGGCTATTTTTTGTTAAAGACAAAACTACATAATTAACACTTAAATATGCAAAAATATAGGAAAGAATTCCATCACCATCATAAAATGTATGTTTCCATTAAATATGTTAACTTTTTATTTTGTCTTCACATTTGCAAAATGATTAAGTTTTGCCTTCAGGACTCAACAATTCAAATTTTTTAGAATGGTAAACATTTCTGTTGATGAAGTATGTAATATTGTGAAGAACTTCAAAAGATAAAAGAACTTTCACAACGGGAAAGTTTCAGCAATTAATTATCACCTAAAGCATCTAAGTTTTGAATACATGCCTGACCATAAGATGCTATGCAAGCAATGATGGAAACACCTACTGATTTATTGCATTCATCTTTAATATGAAGAAAGATTGTTCAAAAAAAGTAATTAGTTATTTTGTAATTTTTATCATTAGAATAACTGAAATTCCCACACTATTATAATTTGTGGTGCTTTGGATTTCATGTTGATCTCTTCCTTTCTTCACTACTTATGTAGATTTAAACACACACACACAGCTTTAAAACGTTTGTTGATTTATTGCATATCACTAAACAAATGTAGTGGCAAAATTTAATTTCAAATCCATGTCTTTATGCCTTTTAATTTGCTTTTTCTTCCATCATAACACAATATCTCCTCATAAACTTTTTTTCTTAGTAAAAATTTATGGGAAAATTTTAATTATTTTCTATTATATTTGACTCAATAATTCATAAACCATGTCTCATTATTTCATATATATCTGGTAGAGACTTCTACATTCTGGGAATAAATGATAGACTTCTCAAGGATATAAACTCAGGTCAGATGTATTCTTTTCAATTTTTGTTGTATACATTATATTATACCATATTTAAAACTAATGAAATATAAATCAGCAAATAAACCAAGAAATTTTTTCTTTGTCAATTACCTGAGAAGTTGCTCAGATTTCTGGTATTTGGTATGATACAAGAAATAGCAATGCATAAGAAAAGAAAAGAAAAGGATGACAATTTCAGTGGCAAAAAGTCAAAATAAACAATACCAAGGGGAAAAGTAAATATCATATAATACAATTATACTTCAACATCTGGGAGTGGAAAATTAATAATAAGACAAAATTATAAAATATTCTTGATACTCATATAGCACATATAAATAATTTAAATAACTGAAGGTCAAAAACTGGTAAAATACCTAGACTAATTTCAATGATTAAATCAAGATACATTTTTTCTTAGTCTATTGCAACATTACAATTAAAAAAAAAAAATCTTTCTGTTTAGAAGGCAGCCTATAAAGACATACATGTCCTAGAGAGTATTATCATAAGTGAAACAAGCCAAGCAGAGAAAGACAAATATCACATGATCTCACTTATTTGTGGAATATAACGAACATAATAGTCTGAGGAACAGTGTAGTCCCAGAGACGTCAAAATGGAGTACAGACTGACAATCCCCTGAAAAGGGGGTGTGGGGGAAAGATAAACCACAGAACTTATATGCATGTGTGTATGAACAATGGATATGGACGACAAAGGTGGGGACAGGGTGAGGAGGGAGGGGAAGGGGGAATCAGTGGGTGAAAAAGGGGAAACATCTGTAACAAAAATAAATAAATTAATTTTAAAAAAAGACATACATGTCCTTTTTGTATAATAATTTAAAACCCTCTAACAAATGTTACCTAGGATAAATATTTTGGAAATGTCATCATGTGAGTTAAGACTCTCAAAGAAGTGTGTGTCAAGTTAAGATCAAACATGCAAGACACAACAATGACAACAAAAAAGTAAGAAGTAGAAAGCCCAAATGTAAGAAAAGCCTTAAAGACCCCACTATAGACTTGAGTATGAAGGAGAAAAGAAAGAAAAGAGCATTGGCTGGATAGTGTCTTAAACTTTAGTGTAGTGTTAAGAAAGTTTCAGTCAGATCTGTGGAAAGTCCTTGAGCCAAGGTTGTTTATTTCAGGTTTCACACATTCTCCAGCAATGCATAGGGAAATCTCTTTGTTTCAGTGGGAAATTACCCTTATTTACAGCTCACGTTTCATTAGGATCTGATTCTATGGGAGCTTATAACTCTGTAAATTACTGATCACTGATAGGAATTCAAAATAATTTGTGTCTATAGATGCAAATAATTTTTTTGTAGTGGAGAGATAGCCTTATTTAACTGAAGAAAACAGTTTCCTCAGTTAGCACAATGATTTCATTATAAATATGTCTATAATATCAACATGATTTCCTTCTTATAGCTAATTACAATTTTTAGCATGTCTTTTAAACATGTTTTTATTATTATTATTATTTTTAGAGAGACAGATAGAAACATTGATGTAAGAGGGAAACATCAATTAGCTGCCTCCTTCTTTCCCCCATCTCCCCTACTGGGGATTGGGCTGGCCACCCAGGCATGTGCCCTGTCCCTGAATCAAACCAGACCTCTTAGTCTATGGAAGGACACTCAGTCCAATGAACCACACCAGACAGGCAGCATGCTTTAAGACAAGGATTTTCTGCAATCCCCATCAAAATACCAACGACATACTTCACAGAACTAGAACAAATACTTCAAAAGTTTATATGGAACCAAAAAAGACCCTGAATAGCCACAGCAATCTGGAAAAAGAACAAAGTTGGAGGGATCACATTACCAAATTTCAGGTTATACTACAAAGCCACTGTAAACAAAACAGCCTGGTACTGGCACAAGAACAGGCAGATAGATCAATGGAACAGAACAGAGAACCCAGAAATGGACCCAAGACAATATTCTCAATTAATATTTGACAAAGAGGGCAAGAGCATACCGTGGAGTAAAGACAGCCTCTTTAATAAATGGTGTTGGGAAAATTGGACATCTACATGCAAAAAAATAAAACTAGACCATCAACCTTCATCATACATAAGAATAAACTCAAAATAAATAAAAGACTTAAATGTGACTCATGAATCCATAAAAATCCTAGAAGAAAACGTAGGCAACAAAATTTCAGACATCATACACAGCAGAATTTTCACTGATACATCACTTAAGGCAACAGAAACAAAGGAGAAAATGAACACATAGGACGACATCAAACTCTAAAGCTTCTACACAGCAAAAGAAATAATCAAAATGGAAAGGCAACCCACTCTATGGGAGAGCATCATTGCCAATGATGCATCAGATAAGGGGCTAATTTCTAAAATATATAGAGTGCTTATACAGCTCAACAAAAGGAAGACAAAGAACCCAATTAAAAAATGGGCAGAAGAACTAAATTGACACCTCTCCAAACAGGAAATACAAATGGCTAAGAGACATATGAGGAAATGCTCAACATCACTAATCATGAGAGAGATGCAAATTAAAACAACAATGAGTTATCACCTCACACCTGTCAGAATGGCTGCCATCAACAAATCATCAAACAACAAGCATTGGCGAGGGTATGGAGAAAAGGGGACTCTAGGACACTGCTGGTGGGAATGCAGACTGGTGCAGCCACTATGGAAAAAAATACGGTATTACCTCAAAAAATTAACAATTGAACTTCCATTTGACCCAGTGATCCCACTTCTAGGAATATACCCTAAGAAGCCTGAAACACCAATCAGAAAGAATATATGTACCCCCGTATTCATACCAGCACTATTTACAATCACTAAAATCTGGAAACAGCCCTGGTGTCCATCAATAGATGAGTGGATCAAAAAGCTGGGGTACACATACACAATGAAATACTATGCAGCTCTAAGAAAGAAAGATCTCTTCTCCTTTGAGATAACATGGAGGGACCTGGAAAGTATTATCCAAAGGGAAACAAACCAAACAGAGAAAGACAAGTGTCACATGATCTCACTTATTTGTGGAATATAATGAACATAACAGTCTGAGTAGCAGTGTAGTCTCAGAGATGGGGAAGTGGGGAACAGACTGACAATCTCCAGAAGAGGGGGTGGGGAGAAGAGATATGCCACAGAACTTACATGCATGTATGCATGAACAATGGACATGGACAGCAAAGCTTGAGATAGGGCAGGGAGGGCAGTGGAGGGGGGTATCAGTGGAGGAAAAAGGAGAAACATATGGAACAAAAATAAATTAATTAAAAATATAAATTAAAAAAAATCTAAGATATAGGAATAAAATTGTTTGATCCACTCGTAAAAAAAAAAAAAAAGACTATGATTTTCCCTTTAAAATTTTTTTTAAAACACTTTGTAGATCTGGCTTTCCAGTGGATTCAATAAGAGTCTGGTAAACTTAGCCACAGAGAAATGTACTTTATGGGCTTTAGTTTAAGTCCAACCACATCTTTTCTTGTTTCCTAGAGATAATTTTTAATTTTCAGTTTTTCTCTCTACCACTTCTGTGTTTTTGTCTTGTTTTATTGTTTTGGCTCATTTTGTGAAAGAGTTCCTTTACTTGGAAAGTTACTATTTAAAAAAAACACATCAATTGCTTCTTGTACTAACAATTCTTCAGATATTTTACGATGCAATGATGTGCCTGCTTGATCAATTCTTATGTAAACTAAGGTTTCACAGGTTTTTAAGCTTGTTCTTCATATGGACCTTCCAAATCTACTGGATGAATAATTATTTTCAACCATTTCTTTCAGTGGAGCACCTACAATTATATTTAATGCATCATCTCCAAAATGATCAACACAAAATCACCGTAGAAAAGTAAGTTTCCTAGATGTAGACACTAAATCACTACGTATGAAGTTGAATGTGTTGTGGCTTTATATTTTGTTTCTTTTATATTTGTTTTTGAACTGCATATCTGCTCACTTCCTAACTTTATCATAACTAGTGTCTAAATAAAACTTCCTTCTGCTGATACAAATCTCACCTCATTTTGAAATTAAGTATATTTTTAAGTATACAAATATAAAATGTTATATACAGACCTTCTGTATTTCATCTCTTTGGTTTCAACGCACCATTATGCCTCTTGTGACCTCCACACTCTTGGAATACTGGACAATTTCATATACAGAAAAACACAGTGGTTTCCTGTGGCACAAAGCCTTTGTACTTACTGTTCCCACTACCTGAAAGACCCTTCCACCTCCAGCCCACTTTCACATACTTGCTTAACTCCTTTCAACTGGCTTGCTAACTCTTACTTATTCTTTAGCTCTGACTTCTGGGGGTGGGGGTGGAGGGCTGGTGAAAACTCAGAATGGATTACTGACAATTATATCCTCTTCTTACATACTGATGCACTCATTTATAACACTCAGTCAACATCTTTGTCTCACATTAAGGAGAGAGCTCTGGGAATACAAGTAGTATCCAGCTGAAGATCTGACACCTGGTAGGCACTCTAAGGGAGAGTCAATGTAAATTTTTTTTTTTTTTTTTTTTTTATTATGAAGTATGTTATCAATCTCTATCTGTTGTCATTCATCCATTCCTTTAATAGCCATTAAGGCAATAAAGACCCCCAAATAGGAAAGAGACAAGGGTTTTCTAGAACATTTCATTAATTAATTTTTTTTCACAATATTGTAGTTATGCTATGAATCTTGTTAATTGTTTTATTTTCTCTAATTGAATTTCAAAACATACTTTGCCAAAAGATGTATATACAACTTTTTAGTAGTACTATTTGAAAGCACATGAATCTTTGAAATGGAATATTGTAAAAAGGACATAAATTGAAGGACCAGTTACATTTTTAGTAGCTATATAATCTTGGAATTGTTAGTATACTTTTTAATCTGTAAGGGGAAAATGAGTAAAATATATATGATATATTATTGTAAGAATTAAGTTTAATGTTAATAGCTCTCACTATATTTATTAACTTCCTGCCCAAACTCAGTATTAACAAAACCATTTAATTTAAATATTTGGCTGAGAAGTTTAAAAAGTATCAATATTAATATCATCAGCCTAAAAATTTCAGATATAACTATTTTAAAAATTAAGAGAATGCCATCCCTCTCCAGACTTCTGATTCCTCTCCCATTTTCTTTGATTCTTGAAAGATTACAAATACAGATACAACTGCAGCATGGTTTTCAACACCACAGAAGTAATTTGCCTCTATCTAGGATTTTGAAACTACTAAACAATGGTGAGTGGCCCTCATATTTTCACTCTTGTCTTCATGCACTGTCTAGCCCTTAAAATGTAAAGAGTGATCTCTTTAAGAGAACAAAACAAAAGTAGAAGCTGTGGAGTTCTATTTTTAATCCTATATGAAATTATGTTCCCCAGCCATTGGCCCCATCCTTCCTTTGTTCATTACTACCAAACCTGCAGATTATGATGCTTTTAGCATTTTTCAAAATCCCCAATCTGTTCTTCCTATTCTGAGGCTATTCTTAGAGATACACAAAAATAGAAAATATTTGTCCCCTGATTCACTGTATTCTGGTATATTTGAATATATCAAATACACATTTAATGTGGTCCTCTTAAAAATGAATCTTCTTTCCATGATAAAATATTCTTTAAAATATTGCTATATACTGTTCCACTGCAACAGCCTTTACAAATAACAACCTGAAAACCTTACCAGCTGCTCAGCACTGCTCTTTTATTACTGTTTTCTCTTGCTCCTATATAGGATCCTAAACTCTTTAGCCAAGGTCATCTCAATATAACTACATGAAAACCCGTTTAGAGGAAGCAATTTATTAACATAACTGTAAATCCGGCTTTCCCCCATTCTGATCCCATCAAGAAATAAATTCCTTGAACTGAAGGATGTTTAACTATCAGCAAAGCCTGGATTCATGGCTGCTGTAAACTGCCTGATAAATAAGAGAGCAAAGAAAGGAATAGTCACTGCAAGGCTTCTTCATGTGCTCTACAGCCCTGCTGCTTAAAGTATACTCTTGGAGACCAGCAGAATCACCTGGAGTCTTATTGTAAATGCAGAATCCCGGGCTTCCTCAGACTTACTGAACCTTTATTTTTATCAAGATACCCAAGCAATTTGAATGCTCATTAAATTTTAAGAAGAACTGCTCTATTGACTATACCTGAAGTACTTCTTCAACGGTCCCTTGGATTGTTAAAAACGATCAGCATTAGTTTTAAGAAAATGGGTAAGTTATAATAGTTGTTACTAATATTTTTGACCATGCTTCACAAGTAGCATAATTTTTTTAGCATTAATAGTTATGTTTAAATATTTTATAAATTTGATACATGTATTAGTATAGTAATACATTTTGTAAATTATTAAAATATGCAAAAACCAGCAATGGAAAAGAATTAGATGAAGATAAAATATGGATTATTCGAAATAGTTCATTTTAATGTCATGGAAATATTTAGCATTAACTATAATTATTGATAATAATAAATTATTATACAATATATTACAGATTTATATTTATTATATAATGTTAAATATTAGTGTGATGAATATAATTAAATATTCAAAGTTTTAAAAATTACTTGTTTAACATGAAGAAGTCATTTAAAGGCATGATTCTAAATTTAGATTATGTATTTCTGAATTTCATTTAAATGACTGCCATATCTGACAAATATAAGTAACAAATATACAACAAACAGATACAGTATAAAAAATATAAATATAAATGTGGTAAGGATCGTGTTAAATGATAGTGGATGTAAATCTAACATTTTAAAGCATTTTATTTTATTTGACCAGTTCTTATAAAATTGAATTTATTATTAATACATTTAGGCTCTAATGTGGCTAATGCAAAACATTGCTATGAAGGAAAGTGAGAAATATGCCTTTTACATTATCTGTGTTTTTTTTTTTTTTCAGTATTAGTATTATCCTTAATGTGAGGTCTATGTGTATGACATTTTTAGAGTCACTTGTTGATTTTATGTATCTGTAAATCTACTTAATAGAATATGGTAAACTGTGATGTATGCAAGATGTTAAAACCAAGTGAACAAGTGTGGTCTCCAACCCATCTCCAGCCGAAGAGCTCCTGCTTTTATTTCAGTTTACCTCACATTGTATGTAAGATACATAATTATCTATATCAGGGAGAGTGAGATTTAATTTATGTCTTCAGTTTTCTTTAAAAATTAAGCATACATGGAAGCTCTGATAGATTCTTTTACCTCCCAATACATATCCATTTTGGAGATACTGAGATGAATCTTCCAAAAGGCAAGTAAGGCAAGGAGGACTGAGCCAAACCAATGATGGGTAGTGGAGGAAGAGAATTTGCTAAGTGGCAGGATGTGGATGGAGAACCTCAGGTAAAGAAGTGAAGCAAGAGCCCTGGCTGATTTTTCTCAGTGGTTAGATCATCAGCCCACAGACCAGAGAGTTCAGGGTTTGGTTCCCGCTGAGGGTATGTACCCGAGTTGCAGTTTGTCCCCAGCCCTGGTTGGGGCTGTGTGGGTGGCAACCAGGCAATGTGTCCCTCTCACATCAATGTTTCTCTTTCCCTCTCTTTCTCCCTTCCTCCCTCCTCTCTGTTTGAAGATAAATGCAAAAATGTCCTTGGGTGAGGATAAAAAAAAAGAAAAGAAAAAGAAAATGAAGCAAGGGAAGCAGGCAAATGTCGTAACTCAAGGAAAACATACCCGCAGTTAGTCCAGTCCCGTTCCATTTGGAAATAAATCTTCTAGGACACAAGATTGGTAAGAATAGAAGAGGTAGCAGTCAACAGATGGTAGTACAGACAGGGAGAAGAAAGAAAAAATTTCCAGAACTGAAGAGATATTTGAGGAAACACAATAGGTTGGGCTTCTCATAGTGGCAAATGGAGAAGCTGCCATGTGACATCATCAGTGCAAGCGTTGAGTTTCACTTCTCATGCAAAAAATCAAATACATACTTTTTATACCTGTTAATTAGCAATGCAAGATTCAAACCAGTCGACAGATAACAAGAGTTTATTGAATATCTATAGTCCTATCTTTCCTCTGGAAGCCTGAAACCTGATTAGAGAGAAAAAACAAACACATAGAGAAAGTAAAATAATATAACTATATAGCTTTAAATCCGTTAAGCATTTACCATGTGCCAGGAGGAGTGTTAGCTGCTTTACAACATAGTCAAATATACAGCAACTCAATGAAGTTCAGGTTGTTAGATTTAAATTATAGGTAAAGAGAGTCCAGAAAAGTCAAATAATCTGCTTAAGGCCATATCCACATAGGCACTAATTGGCAAGCCTAAAATATGAATCCAAAAAGGAGACTATGCCCTTATTCATAAACACCAGGTTACACTGGCTACTGATACAAAATTGACCACCAAATAAGTGACGCTGAAAACTCTTAAAATAAATGGTTAAAAATGAAATAAACCAAAAATAATGTAGAGTGTGTGTTATTGAAGAATGTAATTACTATTTGTCAAGTAAGAATATATACACAGGACCATCAATGGTCACTTCTGACCTTGTTTTTTTCTGGGATACTTACTGCCAGTACAGATGATGCAGACAGAGAGAAGCTGGTGGTCGATTTTGTATTTACTGTGAACCCCTGGATTTAACAATTCTACCTTCTTTTACTTCCAAATGTGAGAAAAGATAAAGTTAATGGGGTTTGACTAATGCTATCATAAATTTCCAGTCACTATTGAGCTGTTTGCAAACTGCTTGTTATTACATACTGGGTTACTCACTCCAACTCCCTTTTTATTAACCACCACTGATTTCTTTATGACTTTGTGCTTCACCATGACAGAAGCACAGTGAACTCAAACAAATTCATGAAGTTCACCTCTGCGTTCCAAATGGCTGACGTGTGTCAGGTCTGAGAAATCCAGTAAATCAATGGATACATGCTGCTAAATATCTGCTTAATCTTGCCCCTACAGAATGACCTTGAAAGTTTCATTTAAAAAAGGGTCAGAATATATATGGTATTCAATCAAAGAGAAAGTAGTTTTCATCTCACCAAATATAATTTATACTCTGGAGACCAAATAATAAAAAAAAAACACTAAATCATGAGATCAACATTTCTAGAATAAAAATAACAAAATGCAGCGGGATGTTTGTGTCTGGTATATGATTGATCTTAGTGCTTTAGCTCAGTATTATTACCCTATTAGGTTTTACAAAGCCAGCATTTGTAGTGCTGTTTTCAAAGGTATATCTAAACCTACTCCAGATATGTGAAATATTTAATCTAATTTAAAAACTGCACTTTTGACAAATAAGAATACTTTTAGAAGAAGTTAAGAATATGGAAATACTATAATAAAAAAATAAATATTAATTAGTCTAAAAGAAAACGCAGACGGGAGAAGCTTTCCTCAAACCCTGCATGTCGCTTTCATCCACTCAATCCCTATGCAAACCATTATCTTCTTCAATGTTCAGGCTTCCCTTTGTGTTAGGCCTTCACACTACTGTCTACATTGGCAACAGCTGCTCTAGTCAGAGGCCTTTTCATCTTTGAAGATTTTCTTGACCTGTAAACTCACCCATGAGAATCAAGATTTCCTTCATATAGCTTAAGAACTCTGGATGTATTTCCACCATAGCATCAATCACACTGTCTATTGTTCATTTGGCTTGCTTATTTTTAATATCTACTTCTATATTTTCAATCTGATACAAACTTTGTTCATCAGATATGTAGCAGATGAATAAATGGATGAATAAATGAATGAATAGTATAAGAAAGGAGAATAAACTTGCTGCATACTTACACCTGTAAAAAAAACACCTATTTTTATTAAAATAATATTTATTAAAATTAATTCAGATTTTTAATGAACAATCTCCCAGCAAACTCTAAATTAGATATATTATTTGAATGTTAAGAATTTAAATGTGAGGATACTCTCTTTCTATAAAAGCATATTAAAGAGTAAACAATACAAGTTTTTTTATATTTTATAGTTAAAACTATTTTAATTACCATAATTTTAAAAGTTAATAAAAATACAAAATTAAGAATAGGCAATTTGTAATAAATATGAGAACCTCAGCTAGACTGTAATAATACTGATAGCTTTTTATTTTGTACAGCAATGCACATCTTGACTTTACTGAACCCATCAACCCACAGGGTTCCTAGTGAGGCAGATAATAGAATTTGTGTTTTGTAGCTATGTCACAGAGTTAAAACAACTTTTCTAAGGACATCTTCACTTAGAGAAGAGGAAAAATTAAAATTAAGAAATAGTTTGGTAGCCCTGGCCAGTTTGGCTCAGAAGTTAGAGCATCAGCCCACGGACCAGAGACTCCGGGTTTGGTTCCCGCTAGGGGCGTATAACTTGGTTGCAGTTTGTCCCCAGACTGATTGGGTTGTGTGGGAGGCAGCCAGCCGATGTGTCTTTCTCACATTGATGTTTCTCTCTCTCTTCCTCACTCTCTCCTTCCCGCTCTACCTGAAGATAAATGCAAAATGTCCTTGGGTGAGGATGGAAAAAAAAAAAAAAAAGAAATAGTTTGGTCAACTTGAACCTGAATTATTTAAAGTGTATTAATATGCACTATATTTTATGCAAGGATGTCCTCTTTCACCCCCCTAATTCAAAATATTAGTGGAAATTCTAACCAAAGCAATCAGGCAACAGAAAGCAATGAAAGGCATCCATATTGGAAATGAAGAGGTAAAACTGTTGCTTTTTGCATATGATGTGATTGTGTATATAGAAAAATCCTAAAGATTCCACCAAAACACTATAAGAAACAATAAACAAATACGGTAAAGTTACAAATACAAATACAAAAATCAATGGACAAAAATCCATTGCATTCCTATATACTGACAATGACATTTCAGAAAAAGAAATTTAAAATTTTCTAATGCAGTCATGACAAAAAAGAGTAAAATACCTAGGAATAAATTTAACAATGGATGTACTGAAAACTACAAAGAATTATTAGAAGAGATTGAAAAAGACACAATGAAATAGAAAGATAACCTAAGTACATGGATTGGGAGAATCAACACAGTAAAAATATCTATATTACCCAAAAAATATACAGATTAAAGCAATCCCCATCAAAAATGTTATGAAATTTCTTAAAGAAATAGAACAAGAATTATCAGATCTGTATGGAACCACAAAAGACCTCGAATAGCCAAAAAAAAAAAAAAAAAAAAATCCTGAGAAAAAAGTAATGAAACTAGAGGCATCACACTACCTATTTTAAATTACATTACAAAGTGACAATAATCAGAACAGCATGCTACTGGAAGAATAACAGACACAGAGACCAATGGAACAGAATTGAGAGTCAAGAAATAAAATCACATGTATACATGTATACGGGCAAATAACTTTTGACAAAGGAGCCAAAAACATACAATGGAGTAAAGAAAGCCTCTTCAATAAATGGTACTGATAAAATTGAAAAGCCAGATGCAAAAGAATGAAACTAGACTATTGTTTGCATCCATATACAAAAATTAACTCAAAATGGGTCAAAGACCTAAATATAAGATCTGAAACAATACAGGTACTAAACTTATGTAATTGGTCTTAAAGAAGATTTTATGAATTTGACCCCAAACACAAGGGACAAAATAAATGAATTAGACTATATCAAACTAAAAAGCTTCTGCACAACAAAAGAAACTGCCAACAAAACAAAAAGGTGACCAAGTGAATGGGAGAAGAAGTTATTTGCAAACAACTCAGAGCAGGGGTTAATATCCAAAATATATAAGGAACTCATACAACTCAACACCAAATAATCTAATTAAATAATGGGCAGAGAATCTGAACAGACACTTCTTCCAAGACATACAAATGGCCAACAGATATATGAAAAGATGCTCAAATTCACTAGCTCTTAGGAAAATGCAAATCAAAACTACAATAAGCTAATACCTCACACCTGTTAGAATGGCTATTATCAACAAGACAAGTAATAACAAGTGTTGGACAGGTAGTGAAGAAATGTACCCTCATTCAGGGCTGGTGGAAATGTAAACTGGTACAACCACTATGCAAAAAAACAGTCTGGAGGCTTCTCAGAAAATTAAGAATAAAGTTACCATGTGA